GTACAGTGAAGCTGAGATTTGTGCCACTGCTCTCCAGCCGTGGGTGAGACAGTGTGAGACTCTGTTCTCACTTAATACACAATAGAAGCTGGGTCGTGGAGGCACCCGGTGGCTCAAGCCTGTAATCCCAGCACTGTGTGTAGGAAACTCGAGACAGGGATCACGAGGTCAGACGATTCGAGACATCCTGGCCGTAACTGGTGATAACACTCGTCTCTATAATACAAGAGTATAAAACCATACTAGCCGTGCGAGGTGCCGGGCGCCTGTAGTCCCCCAGCTACCTCCGACGGCTGAGCAGGGTAGAACTGGGCGTGGAACAGAGGCGGAGCTTTGTGTGCTAGGTGGGGGGCACTTGACGCTAGAGACTCCGGCAATGCACTCCAGCCTGCTAGCAGAGGAGATCATCAAAAAAAATTAAAATAAAAAAACAAAAACCAGAGGTCGGGCGTGGGTGGTCAGTGCCTGTAATCCACAGCACTGGAGGACGCGTGGCTCACAAAGTCAGGAGATTGAGACCATCCTGCTAACAGGTGAAAACCCCTCCTACTAAAAATACCAAAAAATAGCCCGGGCGTGCTGGCGCACCTGAGTCCCAGCTACTCGGAGGTCTGAGGCTGGAAGAATGGCCGTGAACCTGGGAGTGTGGGACTTGCAGTGAGCCGGATCCCGCCCCACTGCACTTCAGCCGGCGACAGTAGCGAGATTCTGGTTCTCAAAAAAAAAAAAAAAAAAACCCTTTACCTCATTTGTTTCCCGTTGAGTAGTGGCAGGAGGAAAGGAGAGGAAAGATTCATTTGCGTATCAGGGTGGCCGGAAAGAGGAAGAAATCTGTGTATACCCCAGTGTAAACTCTGGTGCGGTTCAAGGTCACCTGTACATATGCACGAACCACAAAACATGCATAAACAGTTGAATACTACTCATCCTTACAAAAAGAAATCCTGCATTTGCAACAACCAAGAAATTAACCCGAAATCAGAGGTAGGACAAATACCGCTGGCGATCTCACAGACATTGTGGATCCACAAGATCAATAATGTCACTGAGAGTGTCCAGGTCTTGGCTCATGTGAACCAAGAAATTCAAAAAATGCCAAATCAAGTACCAAAGAAATGAAGGAGGACCAAAGCAACAGAAGAAGGATAACAAAAGCCACAGTTTTTTTTTTATTTGTTTTTTATTTGAGACGGTTCCGCCTGTTGCCCAGGCTGAGTGCAGTGGCCGGATCTAGCTCACTGCAGCTCACCCGCCTCCCGGGTTCCACGCCATTCTCCTCTCTCAGCCACGCGAGTAGCTGGGACTACAGGTGCCCGCCACCACGCCCGGCTAATTTTTGTGTTTTTAGTAGAGACGGGGTTTCACCGTGTTAGCCAGGATGGTCTCAAACTCCTGACCTCAAGTGACCTGCCCGCCTCTGCCTCCCAAAGGAAAGCACAGATTTTTTTAAGTTCTGGGGTGAAGGGGTGGCCAGCCCCTCCACACCTGTGGGTGTTTCTCGTCAGGTGGGACAAGAGACTGAGAAAAGAAATAAGACACAGAGACAAAGTATAGAGAAAGAAAAGTGTGCCCAGGGAACCAGAGCTTAGCATACAGAGGACCTGCACCGGCACCGGTCTCAGAGTTCCCTCAGTATTTATTGATTACTATTTTCACTATCTCAGCAAAAGGGATGCGGTAGGAGAGCAGGGTGATAATAGGGAGAAGGTCAGCAAGAAAACATGTGAGCAAAGGAATCTGTGTCACAATTAAGTTCAAGGGGAAGTACTATGCCTGGATGTGCACGTAGGCCAGATCTATGTTTCTCTCTGCCCAAACATCACAGTGGAGTCAAGAATAACAAGGCAGCATTGCTGCCAACACGTCTCGCGTCCTGCCACAGGGCGGCTTTTCTCCTGTCTCAGAACTGAACAAATGTACAATCGGGTTTTATACCGAGACATTTCAGTTCCCAGGGGCAGGCAGGAGACAGTGGCCTTCCTCTATCTCGACCGCAAGAGGCCTTCCTGTTTTACTAATCCTCCTCAGCACAGACCTTTCACGGGTGTCAGGCTGGGGGACGGTCAGGTCTTTCCCATCCCATGAGGACGTATCTCAGACTATCACATGGGGAGAAACCTTGGACAATACCCGGCTTTCCAGGGCAGAGGTCCCTGCGGCTCTCTGCAGTGCATTGTGCCCCTGGTTTATCGAGACCAGAGAATGGCGATGACTTTTACCAAGCATACTGCCTGTAAACATTTTGTTAACAAGGCACATCCTGCACAGCCGTAGATCTCTTAAACTTTGATTCCACACAACACATGTTTCTGTAAGCTCAAGGTTGGGGCAAAGTTACAGATTACAGCGTCTCAGGGCAAAGCAATTGTTCAGCTTACAGGTCAAAATGGAGTTTCTTCCTTTCTATAGGGAAAAAAGAGATCAGACTGTTACTGTGTCTATGTAGAAAGGGAAGACAGATACTGTGTCTATGTAGAAAGGGAAGACATAGACACAGTAACAGTCTGATCTCTTTTTTCCCTACAGTTCTGGGGTACATGTGCAGGATGTGCAGGACGTGCAGCTTTGTTACACAGGTAAACGTGTGCCACGGTGGTTTGCTGCACCTATCAGCCCATCACCTAGGTATTAAGCCCAGTATGCATTAGCTGTGTTTCCTGATGCCGTCCCTTCCCCGGCCCCTTGACAGGCCCTAGTGTGTGTTGCTCTCCTCCCTGTGTCTATGTGTTTTCATTGTTCAGCTCCTTCTTAGAAGTGAGAATGTTCGGTGTTGGTTTTCTGTTCCTGTGTTACTTTGCTGAGGATAATGGCTTCCAGCTCCATCCATGTCCCTGCAAAGGACATGATCTCATCCTTTTTTATGGCTGCATAGTATTCCATGGTGTATATGCACCACATTTTCTTTATCCAGTCTATCATTGATGGGCATTTGGGTTGATTCCATGTCTTTGCTATTGTGAATAGAAAAGCACAGATTTATTGAAGACAGTTCAGAGTGGGAGCGGGATCCAGCCAGCAGCTCAAGAGGCTCCCCAATTAGGGTTTGTAATAAGCTAGAAGGAACCCGGCAACACCCCTAGGCGCCCTTCGGAGACCTCCAATTGGTTACATGCTATGAAGGATTGGTTCACGACCAATCAGGGGCCATAGCGGAGACCCGGCCCGCAATCAGAGGCTATGTGGCTTGTTATCATGGGAGCGAGAATGTGCCCTGTGCACCACACCTGCGCTCTCCTGTCTGTGGGAACTGGCTGCACCTGTTGGGCTCCCGTTCCCCTAATCCCCTATTCTCCTGCCACAAAACTCATGGAAACAAAGTAGAATTAGAACCGTGGTTGCTGGGGGTTAGGAGGAGAGAAAAATGGACAGATGTCAGTAAAAGGGTAGAAACTTGGAGTTACAAGATCAGGTCAGCCCAACATGGTGGCTCACACCTGTAATCTTAGCACTTTTGGAGGCTGAGGTGGGAGGATTGCTTGAGGCCAGGACTTTGAGACCAGACTGGGCAACATAGTGAGTTCTTGTTTCTTTCTTTTCTTTTCTTTCTTGTTTTGAGACCGAGTTTTGCTTTTGGCATCCAGGCTGGAGTGCAATGATCTCAGCTCACTGCTACCTCTGCCACCCGGGTTTAAGTAATTCTCCTGCCTCAGTCTCCCTAGTAGCTGGGATTAGAGACATCCACCATCATGCCCTGCTAATTTTTGAATTTTTAGTAGACACAGCATGATTACAGGCATGAGGCCTGCCTTGGCCTCCCAAAGTGCTGGGATTACAGGTGTGAGCTACCATGCCTGGCCTTATTTATTTATTTTTGAGACAGAGCCTCACTCTGTTGCCCAAGCTGGAGTGCAGTGGTGCAATCTCGGCTCACTGCAACCTCTGCCTCCTGAGTTCAAGTGATTCTCGTGCCTCAGCCTCCTGAGTCACTGGGTCTGCAGGTGTGCCCCACCACATCTGGCTAATTTTTGTGTTTTTGGTAGAGATGGAGTTTCACCATGTTGGCCAGGCTGGTCTTGAACTCCTGACCTCATGTGGTCTGCCCGCCTCAGCCTCCCAAAGTGCTGGGATTACAGATGTGAGCGACTGTGCCTGGCCTGGGTGCCTTGTTTTAATGACTTCCATTCTGTCCCACAATAGCCCTGTGATTTAGGTTTATTGTGTCCATTTTACTGAGGAGTAAGATGACTTGCCCAAACTCAGGCTCTATTTATTTATTTATTTATTTAGACACAGAGTCTCACTCTGTCACCCAGGCTGGAGCGCAGTGGGACGATCTCAGCTCACTGCAACCTCTGCCTCCCGGGTTCAACCAATTATCTGCCTAGTCTCCCCAGTAGCTGGGATTACAGGCACCTGCCACCATGTCCGGCTAATTTTTGTGTTTTTAGTAGAGACGGGGTTTCACCGTCTTGCCCAGGCTGGTCTTGAACTCCTGACCTTGTGATCCACCCACCTCAGCCTCCCAAAGTGCTGAGATTACAGGTGTGAACCACCACGCACAGCCTTTTTTTTTTTTTTTTTTTTTAATGTTAAAATGGGAACCACTCGGACTTGGTTCTCTCACTCTCCCTCTTCTGAGGGAGGAGAATGGTTATCAATGGGGAATGACGGTTGCAGCAAAGCAACCCCAGGAGCTGGCTTCTCGTTCTGGAGAGCGCCCTGCGCCTCCTCTGCCTGGTTTCCTGTGCTTTACACATCCAGAGAAGCTTCTGTAGTAATGAACCATAGACACGATGCCTCAAAGTGTCATCTTCAAACTCGCTGTGAATTGAAAGTATAATCTTCAGCCAGCTACGGTGGCTCACGTCTGTAATCCCAGCACTTTGGTAGGCAGAGGCAGGCAGATTGCTTGAGCCCAGGAGTTCAAGACCAACCTGGGAAACACAGCGAAACCCTGTCTCTACTAAAAATACAAAAATGAGCCTGGCGTGATGGCTCACAATTGCAGTCCCAGGTACTCGGGAGGCTGAAATAGGAGGATCACTTCAATCTGGCAGGTTGAGACTACAGTGAGCTGAGATTGCACCACTGCACTCCAGCCTGGGGGACAGAGTGAGACCCTGTCTCAAAAAAAGAGTCTAATCTTCAAACTCAAGCTCTTCATTGGGGATGGGGCTGAAATCTGAGTCCAATTCTGGCCGTCACACCAGCACGACTCCCACGCACTTGCTGGTGTCCTGTTTCCATGGAGAACTCTTCACTTTGGAACCATCCCTGACGTCTCCTTCTCCAACTGAAGCCCAAAGCCCAGGCCCCTCGGGGGCCGTCCCTCGTGGATCTTGATCTCTGAGTACTCAGTGCTGCTGGGGGCCTCCTGGTCCTCAGGCTCCCGAAGCCTCAGCCCTTGGAAGCTGAGGGAGGCGTAGTAGACCTCCTGCTCTTCCCCCTGCCCTGGGGTGGGGGTGGCTGCACCTGGGGGCAGGTGGTCTTGGGAGGTGCCTGCCGAGCATTCATGGTGCTGACCCTGAATGCAGGGGAGAAAGGGGGTCAAATTAGGATCATGGGGGCTAAGCGAGAGCAAGGAGGATGCACAAGAGGACCTGGAAGCTGAGCATTTCCTGTTTCACCTACTCATTCCACAGACGCTGGCTGGGCCCTCGTTCTTTCACTCATTCAGCAAATATTTGAGAACAATAACATCTGGCTCTTGGTAATTCACTGCCAGGCTCATAAAATCCTCACCACAATCCAGACTTATAAAATCCTCACCCCAATCTACTGGGGAGACACTATGGTCCCCATGATCAGATGGAGAAATGGAGGCTGAGTAAATTCCCCAAACCCACACATCTAAGCAGTGGTCAGGCCAGGATTCACGTCCAGGTCTCTCTGACTCCAGCACCCGCTGCCCTTATGGAACAGCTCCCCTGTGCCAGCCCCTGGATATTCCTGGGGGAACTAGGGAGACACCATCCCTGACCTCAGGCAGTTTGCAGTGTGGAAGGAGAGGCAGACATTAAAGCTCTAGTCAATCAAGTTACTATCTAATTGCAAATTATGAGTGGATGCCCAGGAAGGAGGAGGTGTGAGAAAGACAGGGATTTGCTTGGACCTGGACTGACCTCAGGGACCTCGGAAGATCTACTCAAACACAAAGATCTACTCGAGCACAGGCAGAGTATGGATAGGCCCGGGGAGGCCTTGGCTCTGGGAGGGGACGTGGGGAGCAAGGGGGAGGGTGCCCCCCAGATCATGGGACTTGGGACTGCATTGATGGGGACCCAGGAGCAAAATCTTATTTGGGGCACAATGATTCTGCAAGGCACCAAGAGGAGTGCCCATGGCCATCTAGGAAAGGGGAACAGCTGGGGCCCCAGCAGACAGAGGCTAGGCTCTCACCTGGGAGATGGGCCCCAGGGTGGAGGGCACGTCCTGCTTCGCTGCTGCCCTCTTGCAAGCTTCCTTCCTGCAGGTCTTCACCCTGAGGGAAGAAGCACTGCCCTTCAGTCTTCAGGCTGGCCCAGAGCCTGGGGCGACTGCTTCCTACATGGCTTAGCAGAGGCTGGAAGGCCGTGGAGGCCAGTGGGGTGGGGACATATCCATGGGGTGACTTCTACAGTGAGAACTGGGGACCCTCATAGATGGCCTGGATCAGGGCTCTGGAGCAGACCCCTGCTCTGATTCTCTTGCCCAAGGCCCAGTTCTTACACCCACTGCCCCATCTAGATTCCTGCGGCTGGGACTGTCTGGGATTCTAGAAACCTCTCCCTTCCCACACTCTGCATTGCCTGCCCTCCCACTTCGGGATGACACTTACCCGAAGATGACGAGGCAGGAACAGAGAGCGAGCAGGGCAGTGACACCAGCTCCCAGGGCAGCCCCCAGGCCAACTCCTCCCCCACGCTGCAGCTTCCCTGCATGGGAGCAGGGTTCGGGGTGGTGTTCTCCTAGCCCTGAGACCCTCCTGCCCCTTCCTCCCACAGACCTAGAGCTCTCAGATTCTTCATCCCCCACTGAGGCAGAAATTTAAAAATAAATATGCATTCATTCACTCCAAGAAAAGTAACAGGCAAGGCAAGGGTTAAAAAAAAAAAAGGAACAAGTTTTCCTCTGCTTAGCAAGCTCACTTCAAGGACAGTTATGAGATAATACTGTTTAAAAAGCCAAGGCCAAAGGAATAGGCTCCAGACACACCCCCTTCCAGAGCAAGGTTGAAGGAAAAAAAGAAAAACAAATTCCTTTCTGCTACTCCTTTCCCTGGCTTCTTAAGCATAACTATGTTTTACAAATGTCTGTATTTAGCCAGTTCTTTTTTTTTTTTTTTTGACACAGCTACAAGGCACCAGCTATGCAAAGCCACAAGTTATGCTATACTATAAATCATGTGACCTGTCATATAATTAACTGCCTCTGTTTTACTTTCGTAAGTCCGCTCATAAAAACCCTGCTCTGTGTTTGTTTAATGCTCAGCTTTTTAGATGCGAATCTACTGACCTGATGTGCACCTAAGATAAACAATCCTCCTGTTCTCCCTATCGGTCTCTCCAGTCCTCAGTTTCCCGCAGCATTTTTGGCGACCACGAAGGGACCAGAGACGGCAGGTTTACTGCCTCCTTTGCCTCTGGGGGCTGGAGCCCTGGGCCTCGGGAGACCTGTGACCCCAGGTGCCACCAGGAGAACGTTAGCCTGGGAAGAAATCAGCTCTCCACTGACCTGGTGCCCCTACCTAGCAGCACAACAAAACCTGAAAGGAGCTACAGAACGATTTCGGAAACAGTGCACTTCAGGAACCGCAGTAATTTGGGGCCCAAGGCAGGAGACCCATCCCGTAGGGGTGGAAGGGGAGCCTGATCACTTCCTGGGGTGTGCCTAGTAGTCCGATCCAGAGGGGCTGGGGGCGGCGAAGAGTGGCTTGTCGATTTGGATGAAAATCACACCCCAATCAATACAGGACATGAGAATGGCTTGCTAAGTCGATTAGGAAAAGGAAACAGGAGGTGGCGAGCCACCCCAACTAAGAAACTGGAGGTGGCGAGAGTGGTTTGCCACCCCAATTAGGACCATAGGAACTGGGAGTGGGGAAGTGTGTAAAAGCGTGTAAATGTAGAGGCCTAATTAGGCTCATCAGTCACAAAGTGAGAAGTCACAAATCTCTTAGTATGGACTCGGTGCTCCAAGCAAAGTGTGGGGCCGACTACGACTAGTGGCGATCTGCATACAGCTAACCGGAGCTGCCCTAGTGGCGATCTGCATACGGCTAACCGGAGCTGTCCTACAGCTCAGAGTCGTAGCAGGAATAAGGAACTCTCCAAAGTCAAGTAGTGTCTAAAAACTCCCATAATAGGAGACGGTATAGTCGGCGGAAATGAGAGAAAGAGCGAGTGAGTACACTGCGCCGTAAAGAAAGGAATAGAAGGAAAGTCATCAAAACTTACTCCATTGAAGCGCATGTCACAAAACTTTAAGAAAGGTTTTTCAGGGGATTATGAAGTTAAGCGAATCCCCCAGAGGTTGAGAACTCTCTGTGAATTAGAATGACTTTCCTTTGATGTTGGATGGCTGACCGAAGAAGCTGTAGACTAGAAAACAATTGGCCATGTATTTAAGATGGTGACAGCCTGAGTATCCTTATCAGTTTCCTTATATTGATTCATGGTTACATATAGGACAGACAAGACCAACCTGGATCCAGCCCTGTTTAGCAGCTTATTGCAAAACACTTGTAGCCCGAGCCAAAAGTAAAAGTAAGAGCAGCTTCGCTGACTGACAGGAAGTTAAAAGAAAAATCCCAGAAAGAGCACAGAGCAACAGAAGCCAGTTTTGCAACAGCTGCCAGAGGAAACAGAGATTCCTCCTCCATATATGTCCCAGCCTACCCACCTTTACTGAGGCCAACAGCCCTCCAGGAACCAAATTCAGGAGCTAGCACGCCCCAAGTCTCACCCTGAAGGGAAGGATCAGAGCCTCAGAAGGGAAGGATCAGAGCCTCAAAAGGCCAGGGAAGGAAGTCAAAAGAGTCAAGCAGGCCGTCTCAGATCTGGCCATGCTTGAGCTATGCAAATGCCTGTCAGGAAGATGTGAGGACCCATTTATTATAATAACCAAGGCCAGGTTCAGGGGGCAAACAAACCTTCATCCATCAGCCCTTTTTGACTACTGACTAAACTGGAAACCCCATACTCCCTCCTACACGGAGAAGCCCCAAGCCCTTACAGATCTGATGCAGTCCATCTTTCTGACACACAATCCACCCTGGCCAGATTGCAAGCAGCTTTTCCTCATGTGATTTAACACTAAAAAGTGCAAGAGAGTAACATAGGCAGCTCTCCGCTGGCTAAAACCCCACGTACCAGCAGAGGCAGGGCGTGCTCAGGCATGCACTCAAGGTCAGTTCTCAGACCCAGATCCTGACTAGGACCCAGAGGATGCAACTCAGCTTCAGCGTTTGCAAAGGTACCGAGAGGCACTTCTGCAAGGCGTGAAAGCTGGTGGAAAGAAAGCAATTAACAGAAGAAAAATTTCAAAAGTGCTTCAGAGAGCTGATGACAACCCAAGTCAGTTTTATAAAAAACTTCGTGAAGCATTCCGGCTTTACACCCCATTTGACCCTGAGGCTGCTGAAAATCAGCGCATGGTAAGCGTTAGGCAGGGATCTAGACCCGACATGGCAGCGCCACCTGACGTAGCAGGCCCTTTGTTCGAGACTTCCCTTCCTCTTTGAACACACCCACAGACTTGCATACATCAGAGGTTCCGGCTGGGCAACTACACTCCCCCATGACCTGCAGCTCACCTGCATTCCACAAGTTCCTAAAAAGCAGTTCCGGTTGACAGTTTCCAAAGACCCCTTCCTCATGACCCTTACTCGACTCCTGCCCTAGTAGTTTCAAGACCCCCCAGGCCCTGTTTGTACAACCAGCTTCCCTACCTCTCGGGCTATAAAAAGCCCCTACCCTTCTCCCTCAGCGCGACTTCCTCGGCCCGCAGCTTTGGACTGAGGAACCTCACCCGCGAGTCCTAATAAAGGCTATTCTCACTGCCATTTGCCTTGTGTCTTCGTTCCTGGTTTGGCTCCAGCCTCAGTTTACCTTTACAGTAAGCATAGTCTTTGTAGGGCAAGCCTGGGGTGACATCAAGCGGAAACTGCAGGCATGAATGCCACCCAGCTTATAAAAGTGACCGCCAAGATGTACATTAACCGTGACCAGGGAACAAACCGGGAAAGAGCAAAAGCAACAAGCGAGGCGCCAAGCAGCTAGGCACACCAAGGGTTAAGTCCCTCTCCCCAGCCTGGCTCTATCTGGAAAAAGAGGGGGGCGGGGACTGGCCCCTGGAAGACAAGCAACAAAAAAAAAAAAAAAAAAAAAGAAAGGCATAATTCTTACAACTTTCGGCAGGCACCTACCAAGCCTCAGGGCCAATAGCAGCCCAGGAGTGGACTACGGCTGTTCAGATCCTACCTAGCCCCAAAAAGTAAGTGTGAAAATGAAAAAAAACCATCCTGGCTAACACGGTGAAACCCTGTTTCTACTAAAAATACAAAAAATTAGCCGGGTGTGGTGGCGGGCGCCTGTAGTCCAAGCTGCTCAGGAGGCTGAGGCAGGAGAATGGCGTGAACCCGGGAGGCGGAGCTTGCAGTGAGCCAAGATCGCACCACTGCACTCCAGCCTGGGCGACAGAGCGAGACTCCATCTCAAAAAAAAAGGAAAAAAGAAAAATCAGAAAGAGGAAAGACAGATGCTAATGCGTGCACCGGGGTGGGGCCCATGCCGTTGCCCAGCCCCACTGGCCAGCCGTAGGAGCAGGAGAACTCAGGAAGGAAAAAGGAAGCAGAACATAGGCTGACAAAAAAGGCCAGTCGGTTGGCAGCAGCCCTCATAAAAATAAAAATTAGCAGGCTGGGCACGGTGGCTCGCACCTGTAATCCCAGCACTTTGGGAGGCCAACGTGGGCAGATTATGGGGTCAGGAGATCTAGACCATCCTGGCTAACACAGTGAAACTCCATCTCTACTAAAAATACAAAAAATTAGCCAGGCGAGGTGGAGGGCGCCTTTGTCCCAGGTACTCCGGAGGCTGAAGCAGGAGAATGGCGTGAACCTGCGAGGTGGAGCTTGCAGTGAGCCGAGATCGCCCCACCGCACTCCAGCCTGGGCGACAGAGCAAGACTCCGTCTCAAAAAAAAAAGAAAAAGAAAGAAAGAAAAATAAGCAATGTGAAAGGATAGGGACGCAGACGTGGATGTGGAAAAGGTCAAGTTAGGCAGGGATTTAAGAGCCGACCAAGGCTATAGAGGGATCAATGTGCAAAATGCAAAAAGAAAGGGCACTGGAAGGATAAATGTCCAGAAGGTAATAAGGGAAATGGCCAAGGCTGCGAGGCAAAGAAGCCATTGGCCAAGGGCTCCTGCACCTTAAAGGAACCAAATACTTATCTGATCGGGCTGGCAGGAGCTGAAGGATGTGAGGACCAGGACAGACTGGGCTCCTTCTCATTAGGCCTCTAGGAGCCCATGGTCACATTAAAAGTTGAAGGCAGCAAAATTCTGCCATATCTGGATTCCACGTTTCTCACTGATGGCTAAGCCATTATATAAAGTTACAAAGCAGGGGGGAAAAAAAAACCCTCCTTGCCTGTAATCCCAGCACTTTGGGAGGCTGAGGCGGGTGGATTACAAGGTCAGGAGATCGAAACACAGTGAAACCCTGTCTCTACTAAAAAAACAAAACGGTGGGCGCCTGTAGTCCCAGGTACTGCGAAGGCTGAGGCAGGAGAATCGCTTGAATCTGGGAGGCGGAGGTCGCAGTGAGCCGAGATTGTGCCATTACACTCCAGCCTGGGCAACAAGAGCGAAACTCTGTTTCAAAAAAAAAAAAAAAGGCCGGGCGCGGTGGCTCAAGCCTGTAATCCCAGCACTTTGGGAGGCCGAGACGGGCAGATCACGAGGTCAGGAGATCGAGACCATCCTGGCGGATCACGAGGTCAGGAGATCGAGACCATCCTGGCTAACATGGCAAAACCCCGTCTCTACTAAAAAATACAAAAAAAAACTAGCCGGGCGAGGTGGCGGGCGCCTGTAGTCCCAGCTACTCGGGAGGCTGAGGCAGGAGAATGGCGTAAACTCAGGAGGCGGAGCGTGCAGTGAGCCGAGATCTGGCCACTGCACTCCAGCCTGGGCGACAGAGCGAGACTCCGTCTCAAAAAAAAAAAAAAAAAAAAAAAAGCTTGCTTATAAACTTTACCAAAATGCCCTGTGCTGGAGACTATGGGTACATGCTAGCGTTTATTTATACCTTTTCAGGATAGGTTGGTTTTCCCCACCAGAACAGAAAAAGCACGAAAAGTAACTAAAGTGCTGTTAAAACACATTATCCCCAGGTTTGGACTGCCTCTAACTTTAAAGTCAAACAATGCGCCGGCATGTGTAGCTAAAATAGTGCAAGATTTAACAAGACTGTTAAAAATAAAATAGAAGTTACACACAGCCTATCGGCCGCAAAGTTCAAAAACGTGGAACACATGAATCAGATACTCAAGTGTCTACTGAAGAAATATTGCCAGGAAACTCATCTGAGATAGAATCAGGTCTTGCCTACGGTCCTCCTCCAAGTCAGGTGCACCCCCACCAAACAAACGGGGTATTCGCCCTCTGAGATTTTGTTCGCTTGGGTGGCTGACAGGGCGCAATGGCACCCCAAATCATAAGTCAAATTAAAGGTGATCTCCGGCCGGGCACAGTGGCTCACACCTGTAATCCCAGCACTTTGGGAGGCCGAGGTGGGCGGATCACCTGAGGTTGGGAGTTCAAGACCAGCCTGACCAACATGGAGAAACCCTGTGTCTACTAAAAATACAAAATTAGCTGGGCATGGTGGCGCACGCCTGTAATACCAGCTACTTGGGAGGCTGAGGCAGGAGAATCGCTTGAACCTGGGAGCAGGAGGTTGTGGTGAGCCGAGATGGTGCCACTGCACTCCAGCCTGGGTGACAAGAGCGAAACTCCATCTCAAAAAAAAAAAAATGGTGATCTCCAGGAACTAAAGGAATTAACCTTAAAAACGCAAATGCAGGCTTTAAAAACAGCCATGCAAAGTGTGCGTAGTTAGGTACATGAAAGAATGCCTATAAACCTGACATGCCTTTAAACCTAGAAACTCTGTTTAAGTTAAGAAGTAAAATTCAACTTCTCTAGGACCCATGGGGGATGGGCCCCATACTGTAATCTTGTCCACTCCTACTGCTGTTAAAAGTTGTAGGTGTTGTGGCCCAGCGTAGTGGCTCACATCTGTAATCCCAGCACTTTGGGAGGCCGAGGCAGGCGGATCACGAGGTCAGGAGATCGAGACCATCCTGGCTAACATGGTGAAACTCCATCTCTATTAAAAATACAAAAAAATATATATATATATATACAAAAAATTAGCTGGGCGTGGTGGCGGGCGCCTGTAGTCCAAGCTACTCGGAAGGCTGAGGCAGGAGAATGGCGTGAACCCAGGAAGGGGAGCTTGCAGTGAGCTGAGATCCGGGCACTGCAGCCTGGGCGACAGAGAGAGACTCCGTCTCAAAGGTTGACGGAAAAAAAAAAAAAAAGACAAATTCTTTTACTGTCACTCCTCTTTCCCTGGCTTCTTAAGCATAATTATGTTTTACAAATGTTTGTATTTAACCAGTTCTTGTTTTTCTTTTGACACAGCTACAAGGTCACAAGTTATGCACTATGTAATTAACTGCTTTTGTTTTACTTTTGTAAGTCTACTTACAAAAACCCTGCTGTGTCTTTATTTAATGCTCAGCTTTTGAAATGTAAATCCACTAAGCCGGTACTTACCTTAAATAAACAATCCTCCTATTCTCCATATGGCTCCCTTCCGCCCTCAGTTTCCCGAAACACCACCAGCCACAGAGCAGGGAGTTTGTCTCCATCCCTTCCCACCACGCCCAGCCCCTCTCCCCACAACCCTGAACCTTCCTCTTCCTAGGATGCTGTGTCTCAGACCCCCACAGTCCCCTCACCTGGTGGCAGCTGGAAGACCGAGCCACTCCGGGCCCCATGGAGGTTCCAGGCCTCACAGCTGAGCCCGAGGCCAGAGCTGAGCCCTCCATGGAGGCTCAGGGAGCTGTTGGCCCAGGGCCCGACTGAGCTGGGGGTGACCTCGAAGGAGCCCTGGCTGCTCTTCCCCTCCAGCAGCTCCTCCCCAAGCCACCAACGCAGAGAGGGGGCCGGGCTGGCTTGGGAGGAGCAGCTGCAGTGCAGACCCTCAGCCTCCCAGGAGCAGGAGGGGCCCAACAGCTGTGGGGGGTCTGTGGGATGGAGGACAGGACTCAGCAGGGGCCCCTTCCTGGGACCCAGGTGTCCCCTTTCCCTCACTTACGGTGCACGGAGAGGCTAACAGAGACGTGCTGGGAGCCCAGCGGGTGCTGAGCGTGGCAGGTGAACTCTCCTTCTTGCTCCATTTGAACCCGAGGCAATTCCAGGACCCCGGGGTCTGAGGGCTGGGAGGGGCCCACGGTCTGTCCCCCCTGGGTCCAGCTCAGCCTGGCTGGGGGGCTGCTGTGGGTGACACAGACCAGGCGCAGGCTTTGGCCCTCCAGGACCGGGAGGGACGTGCTGTTCCCGAGGTTTTCCAGGACTAGGGAAGGAAGGGGCAGAATCGACGTGCAGCTCAGGGCTCAGGGCTCAGGGACCCTCCTGCGTGGGGACCCTTCAGATGCCTGGGCCCCCAATTCGGCACCGAGAGGCCCTGGCTCCTCTGTCTCCTTTCCTACCTGTCCTGTTTGCTTGGGAAACCATCACTCTCAGGTTCTCTGGAGGATCTGAAATGGAGAGAGGGGACCGGCTCTGGATGGGCCAGGGGCTTCTCTCTGGGTAAAGGGAAGCGTCCTGGAGACTGAGGTGGGGGAAGTGGGTGGGATAGAAGGGCAGTGCAGAATCATCCACTGAGTCCCAGACACAAACTGCATGAGGGTCTACACAGGTAAGAATATCAGTCCCCGGCCAGGCGAGGTGGCTCATGCCCAGCACTTTCGGAGGCCGGTGCAGGCGGATCACGAGGTCA